CTTCTACTCTGTTCAGCCCTGCTTCTCCACCACCCACCGGCACCCCTCACCATCCATCCTCCACCACTTTGTTGTAGAATGAAAGGAGAATGAACTTTGGCATCAGACAGACCTCACTTGGCGATTAAGGGATGGTTCTGGAATCAGAATATTTGGATTTGAATCCCGACTCTCCCGTTCACTCAGCTGTGTAATCTCGGGCAAGTTACTTAACTACTCTGTGCTTCAGTGTCCTCGTCTGTGAAGTGAGGATAATAACAGCACCTAGCTCATAGGGTTGTCGGGAGGATTTGACAGGACAGTGTATGTAAAGCACTTGGCCTTGTGTTTAGCACATGGTAACTGCTCAGTTGGTACCAGCTGGGTGATCTCGGGCAAGTCAGTTCCCCTCGCTGCCGTCCACAGTTCTGTTGTATAGAGCATAACAATACTTTTCTCACAAGAGTGACAAGAAGATTGAATAACATAATGTTAGAAACTCCATAACTACCCTTACTTCTTCCTCGGAGGCCTAAATGAGCAAAACCATCACTCAGATTCCTCTCGGGGGAGTGGGGAGAACTCACCTTCTTTCTTTTTTTATAGAACTTCAACATTTTCTGATTGTAAAAGGAACACATTTGGTATACACATAGAGAAAAAATGTACACGTGTTTATACCAGACTGTTCAACTATTTTCCTCTGGGGAGTGAGATCGGGAAATGAGTGTTTTCACTTTGAACTTTATCACACTTGTGTATTATTTAAAATTTGATAACCATGAAGTATTGCTTTAAAAATGAAAATACATACTCACTGTAGATTATTTATCTCCTGTCCCCCCCCCATGTATTTCTTGTACACAACATTAAAAAAAATCCAGCTTGAGTCTCTGCCTTTTAATCAGGAGTTTAATTACCTTTATGTCATGACTGATATGTTTGTCTCACTGCTGTTATTTTGTTCCATGCTGTCAATTTCTGATGCTTCCATGGGGGGGTCCTATCTTTGTCTTTTGCGACAGACAATATGTCTCCTTTTGTTCTAATTTTCTACTGGGATATGGAAAGCAGAAAACCTGCTTTCCATCCTGTTTGTGGATGATTTTAACTCTTGCATAAACAAGTTTGAAATCATACTCTCTCCAGTGATATAATTCAGGAAATATACAGTGACAGTGTAGCCAAGGGTTTGGATTCTGGCTCTGTCACTTACAAGCTGGGAGAATCCTGGGCAAGTGACTCAACCTCGCTATGTCCAATGGGGACCATAACTAACCTACTTCCTAGACTGGGGCACGGCTGAAGTGAGTAAGTAAAACACTCATCACAGTGGGACGGAATTCGTTGGCTTTTCTTTGAAAGATCAAGGAAAAGAGGAACGTGGGAGAAAGAACCAGACAGTCTTTTGTAGATGCCTTCACTACCTGGAAGTCTTTCTTGGGAAATTGCTGATTTTTTTCCTTTATTTAATCCTCATCTGAGGACATGCTTAGAGATAGGAAGAGAAGAAGAGAGGGAGAGAGATAGGAGGGATAAGGAGAGAGAGAGGGAGGGAGGAGGGAGAGAGAGAGGGAGAGGGAGAGGGAGAGGGAGAGAGAGAGGAAGAGAGAGAGAGAGAGAGAGAGAGAGAGAGAGAGAGAGAGAGAAGGAAAGAGAGAAGGAGAGAGAGAAGGAGAGAGAAGAGAGAGAAAGAGAACCATCAACCAGCTGCCTGCCCTATGCTCCCTGACTGGGGATCAAATTAGCAACCCAGGCATGTGCCCTGACCAGCAATGGAACTGTCAACCTTTCGGTGCACAGGAAGACACTCAGCCCACTGAGCCAATCTGGCTGGGCAGGAAATTTCTGATTTAAACATATGGATCCCTTATGTTCTCTAGATCCGGGGTCATCAAAACCCGGCCCAGGGCCACATCCAGCCTATTCACTTGTGTTGTCTTAGGCTGTTTTCATATAACGGTGGCCAAGTTGCGTAGAGACCACATGCGAGGCCAAAGACACTTCCTAGCTGGCCCTTTAAGAAAAGTTTGCTGACTGCTGCTTTACATCAGTCAGATAATCATCCTTCTTTCTAAATTTATGAGAAGCAGCCTTTTTCTCCCTTGTCCCATTACAGCCTCTCAAAAACAAAGTGGCTCTTAGCATATATTAAAGATTTTTTTAAAGTCCATTAGCTTCTGCATTTAATTGTCCACAAGGTGGGGATACTTAATCAAAAACAAAACTAGAAAATTGAAAAAGACGAAGATGCTGATTACAAAGCAGGGTTCTCCCAAGGCTGGGACACAAGGGGGGAAAGGGGCCACGGAGGGGCCAGATTCCCAGGGTCTCTCCACCTGACCTGCGTGTTAGCTCTGGGACTGGCCACCCCAGGTGGCGTCTCTCACTCCACCCTTCTCATGTGCTGCTCTCCAGGCCCCTGAAAACCAGGGTGGCAGCAAAGGCCCCTCACTCTAACAGGTGCCCCTTATTTTTGGCTGCCTACTGTCCCCCCAGAGACAGAACGAATGGAACAGCTTTAGTTTCAAAATTAGGACTTTGCCTGTGAATAGTGAGCTGAAGATTCTCGCCTGCATCACGTGTGGTTTTGAGTCTCTCACTGCCTTCTCGAGGGCAGGGCGGTGGTTGAGGAGCACCTGATCCTGGAGGGCAGCAGTGGGGAGAAGAGGAGGATTCTGCAGTTACCACATCCTGACACCTCTTTGGGGGGGGGGTCAGCTTCACTGGGACTGAACCCCACAGGCTCAGAGGCCTGGGGCCTGGGCTTCTGGCCCGGGAGTGGGGAGAATCTTGGTGAGAAGATAAGACCAAGGCCCACGGAATTGGTAAAGAAAAATTAATAGTGGTTAGACCAAGAGTTGTCCGGAATTAGGAGAAAGGAATTAGGAGAAAGGAGAGACCAGGGGAGCGAGAGACAGCAGGAAAATATCCTGGATGAGATGACGAACATGAGGAAAACCAAAGACATCAGGGGAGACTGACAAGCAGGAGGGAGAAGGAGGGGCCAGCTGAGGAAAGGTGAGCGACCACCGACCGACAATCCCCACACCCCGGGCTCCGCATGGCTGCTTCACAGGGTCACCTGCTTCACCCGAAAACAATCCCATCAGACATGCATGATTATCGTGCTCTCCAACGAGGGAATTGCCTAATCGACCTGTTCCACAGCTGGGAGGAGGCGAAGCCATGAGCTTCGTGTTGTTTCTCTGCTGCTAAAGCTCATGCGATTTCCAAAACTGCTCATCTGCTGGGGAAAATGGCAGGTGAGGTTGTGCGGACCTTGCTGTGGGACTTTGGAGGGTGGAAGGCAGTCTGTTCATGTCGTGATGGGGCAGGCACCTGGAGGATGGAAATGTACCGCTAGACCCCTCACGTGGAGTGATACTCATCTAACGGGTCTGATGAAAAAATGGTTCAAATCAGGTTAAAATAATGCTCACAGCCAACACACATTAAACACTGCCTCTGCCAGGCACTTCTCCAAAAACACTGCCTGCTCACGACAATCCTGTGAGGAGGTTCCCATTATTAACCACACTTTACAGATGGGGCAACTGAGGCACAGGGAGGTCAAGTCACCTGCTCAGGTGACTCCACTGCTAAGTTGCAGGGCAGAAACAAAAGGTGGTCTGGTGAGAGTCAGGGCTCTGAAGGCCATTAAAGGGGCTCTAACCTAATTCAAAGGTCATTCATTCATTCAGTGATTCATCAACCAGCACTGACGGAGCATCTAAGTGCTAAACAATATATCAGTTGTGGGAATATGAGGTCAAGGATGATTCCCTAACCTCATGGAGTTTACAAACCACTGATGACACAGCTAACACTTTTGAGGACTTCCTTTATGCCAGAATCTGTCCTTTCCATATGCAGCTTATTATTATCGCTCCACAGTTCTTCAGCTCGAAAAACAGAGGCTCATAGTGAACGGGTGACCTAGCCAAGATTGCAGCCGGGCCCCTAGACTCGAGAGCCCACAGACCCTCTTACACGCACTGTACTCTCTGTGGTCCCTCCCCTCCTCCTGCACCTGTCATCTCTGGGACAGTGCTCCATCGGGAAGCCCGCCTCCCTCACCCCCCGCCATTTGTTCTCCTGTCTTTCCCACCTGCTGGTCGCTGTGCTCAGATTTGGGTTTGGGGACTGGGTATGTAGAGAGGTCTCTTAGGTCTGTACCTGCTGTCCATCAAGTGAGATGAGAGGAAGAAGCTTTCTGGCTCCCAAAGGAGAGAACCACAGCCCCTGCCTCCTGAGCACTGTCATCGCTCCCAAGGGCCTATGGGATACGCATGACTCATCCATTATTCGCAAACATGTATGGAGGGGCCCATTCTGTGCCAGGCACTATGTTTGGTACACAGATTTGACACAATCCTGCCCTCGAGAAGCTTAACTTGTGTTTTAAAAGCCTGCAGTTTGGTGGCACAGACAGTTGGTCTCTGAAATGGGGTAAAAACCTGCTTGTGTGGTGAGGTAGGACTGAGGAGCTGCCACAATAACCCCTGTGCTGGCATCAAGCTGTGTTTCCTCTGGCCAGTCTGCCCTTCGTCCCTGGAGACTGACCACAGGATAACAAGGCAGCATCTAGTGGGGCACAATAGCCAGGCCTGGAGATGTCCTGGGCATTGGGGAAATCAGCGTGAGCAAAAGAAAGAGTGGCAGCAGCTTGAAGACTCGAGAACTCACAGCACAGCCCACTCTGCTTCGGGGATGGAGCAGCCCTGGATGGGTCAGGACGCAGGGCTCCCATTGGCTGTGATTTCGAGAGTTCCCGGGTGAAAGAGGTGTTGTGATGCCTGACAGTCTACAACCAGTGTTTTTCCAGTTTAAACTCTGGCTACCAATAAAATTTCTATGCACAGTGGTCCTCCGAGCCCCTGCCATTCCAGTACGAGGGTGAGAGGGTGGCCCTGAGTCTGAGAAGAGGAGGATGATACGGAAATGCACCCAGTGGTTCAGGCCACGTGGTCCCCTCCTCAGCCTCTCTGCGCAGCCAGCCCCAGCCCGCAGGCACGCACCTTCACACCGCAGCACGGCGCTGTTCCAGACCACGCTGCCCTCCTTCAGGATGCAGGTGATGGTCTCGGAGCCCTGCGTCCCAAGGAAGCCTTCGTCACACAGGAAGGAGATGGAACTTCCCAGCTGGAGGCTGTCTCCAAACCGCTTCCCGTTCACTGGAATGCCCGGGTCCGGGCACTCATTGTGCCGGAAGGCTGTGTGGATGGGGGGCAAGGATGTTATTAGGCAGAGCCGGTGTGCAGGGGGACCCCCCCCAAATCAGCTTCATTATTATGGTCAACCCTACCCCTCCACCAGTCCCCCAAGAACCCACCATGCTGGAGGGAGAGCCAGGTCCCCAGAACCAGGGACTCCATGCCACATTGGGCATAAAGCAGGTGATTCTTAAACCTGGCCTCCTGCCTTCCCAGGCACCTAATCCAATTTCCTTCTAATGAACATTTATAGACCAGGCAGTAGGCTAAGTATTTCTCACATTCACTCACTTATATCATATAATGATTCCACGAAGTAGGTATTATCCCAGTTTGTAAATGAGAAAACTGAGGCTTATGCAGATCTGTCTCCCCAGTGTCAAATCCATTCCATGCTTCCCTAACTTCAGACAGTGATGGGATCACTCATGCAGCAGGTGAGCGGGGCTCTGAATCCTGTGACACTAATAGACACTAAGCAGCATGAAGCAGGTGCCCTGGAATCAGCTCTGTCGGAACCCATTTCCCTCACTCCCTCTCCCAGGAGACTGACAATGCAGGGAAGAGTCAGAGCACTTTCGCCTCTTGTTAGTTACATGGTCCTGGGAAACTTATGTAATCTTGCTGAGCCTGTGCTCCCTGACCTATAAAATGAGATCATACTTCGCTTGCAGGGTTATTTTGGGGTAGAAATGAAGGTTGATATCAAAGTGGAGACTATCTGCTATGGCTCCTGATAGAGAGTAGGTACTCACTCCTTAAGCCCTGTCCGTTTTGGCTCAGTGGGTAGAGCATTGGCCTGTGGACTAAAGGGTCCCAGGTTCGTTTCTGGTCAAGGGCATGTACCTTGGTTGCAGGCTCCTCCCCAGCCCAGGTCCTGGTTGGGGTACGTGCAGGAGGCAACTGGTCAATGTGTCTCTCTCACATTGATGTTTCTCTCTCTCTTCTCCCCCCCTCCACTCTCTCTGAAAATCAATGAAAAAAAAATATCCTTGGGTGAGGATTAAAAAAAAAGACCCAGTGCCCTTTCTTCCTCCCGTTCCCCTCCTCTTCCTCCAAGCACACTAGCAGGCTTCCTCTGTCAGGGGTGCCACAGTTCTCGCACTCATGTCTCTGAAGCCACACCCTGTCTGCATCCCTGCTGTCTGAAGGATGGTGGTTTTGCAGTGGAGATGAGGCTCCATGGCTGCACGGGCAAGTACCACTTTCAAAAACCCAATTTACAAACCTCTGAAATCCTCTAGTGATGGAAACATGTGCACAGTCAGAAACCGAACAGTCCACCCTGGTGGCTGCTGGATCTTACTGGAGGCAAGGGGCTGGAGACCTGGTGGCCCTCCTACTGAAGGTGAGCTGGGGGGTCTGACATGGAGAGTGCTGATCCCTTGCAGAGCCTCCACGAAGTCCCCACACCCTTCCCTCTGGGTTCTTAAACTGGACCGGAGGGCCGGAACAAAAGCATGGATGGAGTGTTTGTGTGAACTAATATAAATTCAAAGTAAACATCATTACATAAAAGGGTACAGTCTTTTTTTTTTTTAGTTTTATTCATTTCAAACGGGCCGTAGTTTGCCCACGGCTGAGCTATGACCATGGGGTTGCCCTGACATTTAGAAATAAGTGGTGCCTGAAGCTAGAAGCCCAGGCGTTAACCATCTCTCTCTCTCTCTCTCTCTCTCTCTCTCTCTCTCTCTCTCTCTCTCACACACACACACACACACACACACACACAGAGAGAGAGAGAGAGAGAGAGAGAGAGAAGATCCAGATACAGAACTTTTTTCAGCACCTAGGAGCAAGCGCTCGAGGTCAAGGACTTAAATACTGCCCAGTTCTACCTGGCTGTTGTTCTGAACCTGCCTCTTGCCATGTGAAAAGGAATAGCTTTTAGCCTTAAGATGTTTCTGATATGGGGTCCGCTGTAATGACTGCACAATGCTCACATAGTAGGTGCTCAGTAAACAGTAGCTACTTCATCACTTTTGGAGATGTTTCACGTGGAAGAAGGAGGAGGTTTTACTCCAAGGAGCTCGAGGGGTGGAAAAGGATCACGAGTCCTTGTTACAGGGACACAGATTTCAGGCATCATAAGGGGAAGCATTCAGTGTGCTGCTGTTGCTATGGAGACAGCTGATTGAGAAGTGAGCCCCCGGCACTGGGCACATTCCAGCTCAGCCTTGATATCATCAGTTGGGACGTGACCCAGGAGAGGACTGTCCTGCAGGGGAGACTACGCTGCTTCCCAAACACTTGTCCACGGACGGACTACTGTTCACTGGCTACATCAGAACCACCTCAGAGCCTTTTAAACAGTACATCCTGGGGCCTCAGTCCCTTGGAGATTCTGACTCAGCAACGGGGCCCAGATTTAAAAATATTATTTCTACTATCCATCCAACTGACCATCTGTATGAATGCACAGAAAAGTATCTGATTTGGTAATAGTGTTCACCAAATGTTGGCAAGAACCATTTCTGGGTGGGGGACTTGGGTGGTAGTTAGCATGTCTTCTTTGGCCTGCCACTGTGTTTTGAGTATTTATGTTTGGGTGTGCATCATTCTCACCGTGCTGGAGAAACGCTGGGGAGAATGTGAGGCAGGAGCTTGGTCCACCACCCTTTTGCCTCTTCCTCCCAAGGACCCAGCATTTTCTCCTTTCCTAGAAAATGGGGACTTCCTAGGATTTGGTTTTCCTGGGAGACTATAAGCATGTATTTTTTTGTTGTTGTTAATTTTCTCCTGAGAATATTTTTCCATTGATTTTTTTATGGAGAGCAGAAGAGAGAGGGAAAGACAGAAACATTGATGTGAGAGAAACACATTGATTGGTTGCCTCCTGCACATGCCCTGACCAGGGCCTGAGTTGTGGAGGAGCCTGCAACCCAGGTGTGTGCCCTTGACCAGAATCAAACCCAGGACCTTTTGGTCCGCAGGCCAACACTCTATCCCCTGAGCCAAACTGGCTGGGGCTAAGCATGTATTTTGCCACAGGTGCCCGATCAGTGTCCACACTTCCTTGGACCCTGCAGAGTTCTCCGCCGTCATCATCCTGGACAAATGGGCTTCCCTGGGGATTCCTTACCCGTCCTCTTCCCACTTCACCAGCGGGGAAAGAGCATTGAGTCATTTATGGACCTTTCCATTCAATAAACATTTACTGGTCCTTACCATGCACCAGACCCCTGCTGGGCAGATAAGTAATGCATTCCCCTACCTGTGCAGAGCTCAGGTCTCATGGGAAAGCAGGGTGAGCTACAAGCCAGAGGTGCACTGCTGGGCTGGGAGGCTCAGGGGGACAGGTGGGCTCTGCTGCCTGCTGCCCAAGCTGACGAGAGCAGGGCGCCCTGGAGGAGGCAGGCTGGAGAAGGTTGATGGTGTCTAGCTAGCCTGGTGTCCTGAGGAAGTGCTGACAGGAATGTCAGGGAAGGGCTTTAGTTGGATGGTCCCTTGGAATCTGGGGTCCCCAGTGGCTGAATTTTTGGCAGGTACTGTCTTCGGTTCAACTAGACTGCAGGGACAGGTGGGACAAAAAAACAAGATCTCTGTGCCACAGATGGGGGTGGGGCCAGGGAGGGTCACTTTTGTCAAAAGCACGAGAGGGTCCTCCCGGTTTGGCTCAGTGGATAGAGCGTCCGCCTGCGGACTAAAGGGTCCCAGGTTCCATTCCCTGTCAAGGGCACATGCCCAGGTTGTGGGCTCAATCCCCAGTAGGGGGCATGCAGGAGGCAGCTGATCCATGATTCTCTCTCATCATTGATGTTTCTGTATCTCCCTCTCCCTACCTCTCTTTCTCTCTGAAATCAACAACAACAACAAAAAGCACAAGAGGGACCAGCTCTGTGTGTGCTTAGGTGCGTGGGGTAGGGCTTGAGTTGGGGACTTGCATTTCACAAGCAGCCTCTGGGGAAGGATCTGGTTAACTGCTCAGGAAGACCCAGCTTTTGCCCCGTTTGACCATTTGTCATCGGCCAAGGTCATGGGTCTACGGCTTATTATAATCTGGTAAGTAGTTCTCACTGCCTTTGGTGGCTCACAGTCTCCAAGATTCTGCCCCCATCTCTACCCTCACCATAAACCCAGGAGACACAGAAATAAAAACAATCACCTCCGGCCTCGGGTTCCCCCTAGAAGGGGCCCAGGATTGAACTTGGAGGGGACGACTTTGGACTGTGACCCTGAGAGGGGGGTGAGGAAATGCCCCAGAGTTGGCTCTAATCAAGACTCACAGCCAAACAGAAATGGCACTCCAGATGCTACTTTCCGATTTGACTATGGGGATGGGACCCGGGCGAGGCCAAGCCCCCAGGGAATGCCCAAAGTGGGCAGCAAGCGGCGTTCACATCAGAGAGGGATCCGTAACTAACGAGGGACGACAGGCTTGCTCTCCCTTGAGCCTTCCTGGTTCTAGCTGAAGCTTCCAGGAAATAAATGCTCGAAAGAGAGTGACGCCACAGGAAAGAGCACCCTGCCCGGCAGCAGTGCTTTATGCTCTTCCTGGGCATGCTGGAGCCCCAGGCCTGGGCACTACAACCCTTGGAGCAGCCCACCCACATCAACACCCCTCCACCCTCAGGGACCGACTCTCAGAGGGATGGCCAGCTGGAGACAGAGGGAGGACTCACTGGTAAAGGTGATGTTGAAGCCCCTCTTCCCTGTGGAGTGATCCGTCTGGAACTCGAGGCGGGCCACGTGGCCGCTGCTGGTGATGGAGGAGGGCAGCTGGTTTCCTGAGAAGGTGCCCAGCACTGGGGCCTCGGCGGTGGCCCCATCCTTGATGACCAGGAAGTCGAACTGAGGCTCCACGTCGATGTCGTTGAAGGCCAGGTGGATGCGGCTCTCGGGCCGGGCCAGGATGAGCCAGACGCAGTGGAGGTGGTTGCCGTAGTCCTCGGGGTAGTTGGGCGACAGGACGACCCCAGAGGGGCTGGTGAAATTGAAGAAGCAGGAAACTGCAAGAGAAGAGCAGTGGAGGTCAGTAAGCATCCCTGGCATTCTGCCCGGGTCCCTGAGGGCTGGCAGGGGTGCGTTCCCTTAGACTAAAGAGCAATAGAAAAAAGGGTGACACCAGGGTTGGGCTGGCCTGGCTGGGCTCTGAGCTCTAGGTGGGAGAATGCTGGGTGCCATGCTGGGCATGGCACTGGGAAGGGTGCCATGTGCAGGCATGGGGGAGTCGCTCTCCTTTTGGCCCTCTCCCTCTCTCTCTGTGTGCTCATCCAGCAGCGCCTCATGCTCCTGGTCCCATGTGTGGGGAAAACCATCACTCAAGCTTAAGTGCAGTCCCAGTGCCAGCTCCTCTCAGGTGGGGGCGATCCTCCAGGTGGTAACCAGAGCGAGATATTCCAAGTCCATTTCTCTCCATTACATATTTTGGTGGGGAAGTGACAGGTGTGCCCTGGGGACTGTGACAGCCTTGAAGCTACAAAACTATGCTAAGGAGGTGCCAGGTAAGCACCACTTTTCAGAGATCAAAGCTTTGGAGGGAACTGGGGGAGAAAGGTGACAGGGTCTCATCCTGATGCCCCACCCACGTCCTGCTACCCCTCCTTCTTTACCCCAAGGAGCCACTTTTCTGGAAACCCGTATTTTAAATCCTTTTCATGCCAGTGACTAACAGACCCTAGAGTGAGGCTGAGGCAAGGAAAGTGCTATCAATGGAAAGAGAAACACACAAAACCAAATTAAAAAGAAAAATAATAGAATGAAAAAAAGAATTGTAACAAATATGCCACAGGGCAAGTACCAGTACTGATTTAGAGATTTTTAATTCTATAAGAATATCGTCAAGATGAGCAAAGAGTATGCTCAGAGGATTCATATGAGACAAAAATAGAATTACTATATGAAAACACAGTCCAGTACACTAGAGAAAATAAATAAACATATATAACCCAATACTGCTGAGGCTTCATGGAAACTCATATGTATTTATTGCCAGTTGGAGTGTAAAGTTGATCTAATCCTTTTGGAAGGTTATATGATTCTTATCAACAGCCAAAAGACGATTCAAATATTCCGCCTCAGTAATCTCTAGAAATAATTAAAAAGAAAAAGAGCCACATGGACAAAGATGTTTATAGTGACATAACTTCATTATAGAGAAAAAATGTGGACAACCTATATGTCAACTCAATAATGTGAAGTATGTTATAGCCTTTAATGTGATGCAGTTTGAACACAATTATTAAAGTGATAAATACGACCCCGTAGAAAGGAGAATGTTAAGCATCACTTAAGTAAAATGGTAGATAATAAAATTATATGCATACTTTTGATGATAGCTCTTAACTACTTATTTACATATAGATAAAGACTGGACATGAACCCCGAATAAAAACTGTATTAGAGTAATAGGTCTGAGGGTGATAATTTTTCAAAGTGAAAACAACATTTAATTTTTCTGACTGTGAAAATGATAGAGGCTCATTCTAAACATCCTATCCTATATAATAAAAGCCTAATATGCTAAGTGTCCAGTTGTCCGGTCATCTGTTCAACCAATCAAAGTACAATATGCTAATGATATGCTAAAGCTGCTCACTATGACGTGAACTGATCACCAGGGGCAGACAGTTGACCAGTCAACCAGTTGCTATGATGTGCACTGACCACCAGGGGGCAAACACTCTGACCGGTAGGTTAGCTTGCTGCTGGGGTCTGGCCGATTGGGACTGAGTGAGATGGGCCGCACCCACCCTGGAGTCCTCCTGCAGTCCCTCCCTTGTTGGCCATCCTCCTGTGTCCCTCCCTGACCCTGATTGTGCACCAGTGGGGTCCCTTGGTCTGGCCTGAACCCTCTTGCAATCCGGGACCCCTAGGGGACGTCGGAGAGCCGGTTTCGGCCCAATCCCGCAGGCCAGGCCAAAGGATCCCACTGGTGCACAAATTCGTGTACTGGGCCTCTAGTTTTTCATATAAGAAAGTATAAAGAAAGTAAAAACTAATATGTACATTTAAATCCCACTATAACATGTATATTGCTGTCTGATGTTAATAATAATGAAACTGAAGTAAATTAAAATTTTGACTTATCTATATATAAAAAAGCCTAAGCGACCATTTGACTGGTAGCTATGATGCGCACTGTCCACCAGGGGATAGATGCTCAACACACAGACATGGAAGCATGGAACAGACTGATGATTCTCAGAGGGAAGGGAGGAGGGGAAGGGCAGAAGGAAATTAACCAAAGATCTTATATGCATACTAGGGGCCCAGTGCATGGATTCCTGCACCGGTGGGGTCCCTCGGCCTGGCCTGTAGGGATCACACTGAAACTGGCAGTCTGACATCCCTTGAAGGGTCCCAGATTGCGAGAGGGTGCAGGCCAGGCCGAGGGACCCCACCGGTGCATGAATCCATGCACCCGACGCCTAGTTAATTATAATGAAAAAAAAATCATGTTTGCAAAAAAAGAAAAAAAGAATAACACAAAACAAAGGAATTCTTTGACTCCTAAGTTGAATTTCTCCTTCCTCTCCCTGACTCCACCCATCCTCCCACTTCCTGCATTAGGTTTAAACTGCTACCCAAAGCCTTCCCATCAAATTCAGCAAAGCCAACCTGGCCCCTTGCCACATTCAGTCTTACTCCTGTAATCTCTGCATTTTATAAGTATAGAAAGAGTTTGGCCAAGGGGAAAGCTTCAAGGTAACACCAGATATAGTTAATAGTAATTATTACTATTTATTATTGCCGGTGGGGGCTTACTAAGTGCAGGCACTGTTTTAAGCACTTTCATCAATTACTCAATTTAACTATCACAATAACATTATGAGGTGGGTACTGTTATTAATCCCATTTAAAGATGAAGACACTGAGGCACACAGAGGTTAAGTAACTTGCCAGGGCTGAGCATCAGTAAATGGTAACATTAAATTCAAATTTATGCAAATCCATGCAAATTAAAACTAATCTGACTTCAGGGGCCAACCTCTTAGTCACTCCTCAACACTGTTTCCCAGTAAGAGATGAGTACTGCCCATTGGGCCCAAGTTTAACAATGGAGTCCTGGGGGTATTCTCTATGCTGAAGATCGAATTATCAACCCCAACCACATCTACCCTGAATTGGGGGGGCTCTAGGGTGGACCTGGATGCCTTCACACAGCTATCCCATCCCAGCTTTGTGGCCCTCCAGCGGGGGGTATAATGCAAATGATGAGGAATCCTAACCTAAGAAAGCCAAGTACCTTGAAGACTGAAGGGAAAAATCACGTGGCCTGTCTACAGTGAACAACATCACAGTGAACTGAAGACAAGAAAGTGCTATGGTTTCAGAGGGAAGACCATCAGGGGTACCATAAGCATATGAACAAATGGATTGGCTGCAGAGGAGAATTTAATTAACAGCACTCGGGTCTCCACCACCACTCCATCACTCTATCACATTATTCGTTTTGCTTTATACCCTTTTTCTATGCTGTAAAGCTGCAGGGGTACCATTTTGAGCAGCTGTATATGGCAGCACTACCTACCACTCTCTAAAGTTATCTTGTTCATTTGTTTGTTTATGGCCTGTCCCTCTTTCTTCCCACTGTACACATGTACTCCGTAAGAGCAGAAATCTTGCTTGATTCCTCTGAATCCTAATGGTCTCACAATGCCTGGCATATTGTAGGTGCTCAACCAATACTTGCTGAATGAATCAATGAATATTTAATGGTTGATGACATTTGAAAAGAGGGTGACATGAATACATAAGCCTTACATTCCATCCCATTACAAGACCCAACCGTCAGAATTGACCAAAATCTATAAAAACAGGTGGGCACCTGTATCAGTTCTGGAAACTAGAGACAAATACGGTGGCACGGTCCTCAATGCATGTCTCTTAGACACAGTGCAGATCTCTCCCTATGCTGTTTAGAGTAGAAAGGAGTATAACCCAGCCAAGTTGTTAAGCACCAAAGACAAGAGCTCCCAATATCAGTGACCTCAAAAATATACTGTTCACATAACACTCAAAAAAAGCCACTTGAAAATGTTTTCTACCAAACCAAGAGATGAATCAAAATGAAGAACGCAAGTTTGGGAAAGTTATGGTTCATAAAAATTATAAAAAGAGTTGGCAACAAGCAAATAAGCCATACAGTAAAGAATCTAAATAATTTCTATACACATAATTATAAAACAGAATGCAAGTATAACCATTAGTCTTTCAAAGAGAAAATATATCACTGCTGCCCAAACCCCAGGGTAAAAAATTGCAGATTATACTGATATAAAGAGTAAAGTGGGAGGAAGGAGATATGCTAATTTCCTCATCTTAGAATAAATTCTGTTATATAGTTTCTGTGGTTAATTTGAGAAATATAGGTTAAAGCATGTTTTAATTAAGGGTAATTAGTAATAGACTATAAAGTAGCTTATCTTCAAAATTACCAAAAGGGGAAAAATATAGCAATCAATGTAGCAAAAAAATAAAATAAAATAAAAAGGAATTAAAAGGAAATACCAAGGCAATACAGAGAGAGGAAGCATAAAGATGCTAAAAATGACAAAAATTATCCTCCTATATAATAAAAGCCTAATATGCAAATCGACCGAATGGCAGAACCGGTGAAATGACCAGTTGTTATGACGTGCACTGACCACCAGGGGGCAGACACTCAATGCAGAAGCTGCCCCTAACCTGCAGGCCCCAGGCCAACCAAGGTGGGTACCACCCCGCTGGTCACCCACAGAGGAAGCAACCAGCAGCAGAGGTGAGGGGCAGGGCTGGCTGGCAAGTGGGTGGTGCCAACCTCCCACCCGGATCGCCCTGCTAGTCACCTGCCGCCAGCCAAGGCCAGTGCCAGCGGCCCCCACCCTCCCACCCCCGCCTGCAGGTCGCCCTGGAGAGGGAGGCGACTGGCAGGTGACCGGCGGTGGTGGCAGGGGTCAGGGCCGGCTAGTGAGCAGCCAGGCTGCGAGCCAAGGCGGGTGCCAGCTGGGACCCCCCAATTGCCCCG